GGCAGCTCTGATCAATTCTACGATTTGGAGAAGTCGCTCTGTTGTTTTTCTCCGTTCTTCAGTAGCACTAAGAATCAAATGAAAATAACAGAAAAGAAGAGAAAAGAGTTATCGACAATTCCAGAAGGTAGATCATCACTTTCGAGTTGGTTTCTATACACTCGGCAATCTAATGAACGTGAAATCCATCTTTTATTTCTACCGATAAATATGGTAGTACATGACCAGACACAACTCGACAGATGTTGAGCTCGTTGAGCTGAGAAAAGAATTGAAACCTCGGTCAGGGCAGGTCCAAGTGGAAAGTGACCAGATTTTTCGATAGGAACTATATTTTAGGGCGCGTGTGGCGCAGTGGTCGGAGTTGCCGGGCAACACACACGTGGAATCGATCTTCACGTCCATGGCCCACCAAGCGTTCCGTCCTTCTAGGGTCGGCAAATTGGTACCAAACTTGTTTGGAAGGATTACAGCACTGACTGGATGCATCGGTGGGCCACCGCGTGCCTTTATATAGAGCAGATATGCATTCAATCACCTCCTTAATGAGGTCGAATGCATGGCGCATCACTCAGGGGTTGATCAACGTCGATCGAAAGCTTTCTCTTTTATTTTTAACCGGATTTTTGGTGCATATATATATATATAGCGATGAGTCAAAAGAGTACCAGATAAAGCGGGCGGTATTGATCAATTCCATAAGAGATACGCCATATATTCAACTCCATCTAGGCCATGGAAGTGAATAAATACACGTTTGCGCTATATAATGACTTGTGGGAGCCTATCAGTGTAATGTGTGGCGCGTGTGAAGCAGTGGTTGGGGGCGCCACTGCGACACACGTGGAATCGATTCCTGCGCCCATGACCCACCATGCCTTCCATCCCTCCGGCGTCGGCAAAGTGATAACAAACTTGGCTGGGAGGATAGCAGTACTGACTGGATGCATCGGTGGGCACCGCGTGTCTTTATATAGAGCAGATATGCATTCAATCACCTCCAACGATGCTTAAATAAAGTGGAATGCATGGCGCACCCCTCAGGGATTGTTCAACGCCGAAAGTTTTGTCCTTTATCCTTCTGAAAGTGTAATAAATCACTGTTTTTTGCTTCTCAGACAAGTATGGCATTAGTTCGCCCAACATACAGGTTCGGAAGGCTTCGTTAGTCTAGGGCAATGATTTAAACCGAACCCCTTCAATGCTACAGGTCAACTTTGACTGCTGCGTTACACTCCTTAACTTAAATGATTTTATTTATTCTATGGAGGCCTTATATTTTCGGTTAGAAACTGCAAGCAGTAGTGAAAGACAACCACAACGTTGCTGAGATATTTGCAAAACTCTGGACCGCAGGTGTCTATGGTGGGGAACGAACGCGCTATTGTCCTTTCCGGGGAGTAACGCGTTCACCACCACACCATGCGGGTCCTT